CTCAAGTTCAAGGAAAGCCTGGGCAACTGAGCAAGACCTTGTCTGAAAGCAAAAAACAGAAGGGACTGGGGCTGTAGCTTAGTGGTAGAGTGCCCTAGGTTCAATCCTGAGTGCTGCAAACAAAACAAAACAAAAACCTGCATTGTTTCCCATTTCCTGGTTTCTTATCTGTACAGCAGATACATAGAAATATTTCTTGTGTTTTTTTTACTGTTTTATTGGCTCAACTTTAAAACCTGTATTTTGTTTAGTGTTCTATTACATGAATAATTTATTAACTTAAGTTCAGTAATACATAAAGTAAAATCACCAGAAAATGCCAATTCTGTTATGGGTAGACTTGGGGAAGTTTTATAACTTCTGAGCTTCAGTTTCAATGCTCTGGGTGTAACAACAGTATCTAGTAGGTATGTTGTGAGGATTAAAATGTTTATGTAAAGTAGGGCTTTGCTCAGTACCTGGTTTCTGTTATTAATCATAAGTGCTATATTAACCCATTTAATTTAATTGCAATTTCTGATACATATACTGTAAAGCACAAGATACATAATTGATGGTCATATTGAATGCTAGGTGTTATTATGGTCTCTTAATGTGAATTCATAGTAACATCTTAAATGAAAAAGTTTTTTAAAATAAAAGTGCAGCAATTAAATTAAAATCATAGTGCTATGAAGATGGTGATTAGTAATTTGGAAATAATAAATTTGTAATCTAAGTCATCCTTAGAAAAGTCACTGGTACATTCTGAATTGCTGAGTTCCTGTGCTGGGTTTCCTAGGTGTGCCAGACATAACTGATTTTGTTGCTCCCTCTTGCCAGGCTGTCTTCAGATGTCACACAGCAGTCTTCATTTGCTGCCTACTGGTTGCTCCTTTTTAGCACCTTCTTTTCATCAGTATTTTAATATTAGTGTTTCCTAAAATGTGGTTCTTGGTTCTTTCCTATTGGTCTGTAATCACTCCTTTGGCCATTTTGTTTGTGTTCTGCATGCTGGGGGCAGAGCTCAGGCCTTGAGCTTACTAGGAAATGCTCTCCCACTAAGCTACACCCCCAGACCACACTTTTCATGACTTTTTCCATTTTGTAGCTTTAAATACTACCCATATTCTGACAAACTCACAAATTTATGGAATTTTCAGCTAAAGGTTAATTTGTATTGAGTTTAACAATTTGAAAGCTGTGTCTGGCCCATCTACAATACACAGTTTGATAATAAAGACTTGGGTGATAAGATTTTTTTTTTCTTTTTTCTTCTAGAGCCTTTTTTTTTAGGAGCTGAGATTTTTTTATTCCAGATACTGGTTTTCTAGCAGTCAGTCTGATGGTGGTCACTCATCTCATTTAGGTCCTTTTAACCCTTGCTGCTGTCTAACTGGAAATCCAGTAGATCCATGTGACTTTTAATTCTTGGCATTTTTTATTCTGATCCTTGAATGTTTTCTGATGGATGGTTTTGTTTTGTTTTAGTAGGGCCATGACTTCTAAATATTCTCATCACTTCAGTACAGTTGGAAGTTTGGATAGGGCAAATAATATTAATTTTCTTTTGCTTTGAAAATTTGTAGGCTTTTCCTGAGGTATTTTTATTCTTTTAAGGTTTTCTTTATCTCACATTTTTAGCATCACATTTTAAGCAATTACATTTGAAATCCTATACACAGAAACCACTTATTGCCTAGGGTTTATGTGATACTGCATAGCAAAGGAAGGGCACTGGCTACAGGCTTCCAAGCAAGGCCTGCTGAACCCAATCTGCCCAGGGTGGATCTCACTGTTAGCTGTATATATTGAAAACCGTGCTGTGGGACTGCAAATTGGTGCAGCCAATATGGAAAGCAATATAGAGATTTCTTGGAAAATTGGGAATGGAACCACCATTTGACCCAGCTATCCCTCTCCTCGTTCTATACCCAAAGGATTTAAAAACAGAATACTACAGGGACACAGCCACATCAGTGTTTATTTATAGCAGCACAACTCACAATAGCTAAACTGTGGAACCAACCTAGATGCCCTTCAATAGATGAATGGATTAATAAAAATGTGGCATGTATATACAATGGAATATAACTCAGCAATAAAAGAGAATAAAATCATGGCATTTGCAGGTAAATGGATGGAGTTAGAGAAGATAATGCTAATTGAAGTTAGCCAATCCCAAAAAACCAAATGCAGAATGTTTTCTTTGATATAAGGAGGCTGATTCATAGTGGGATAGGGAGAGGGAGCATGGGAGGAAAAGACAAACTCTAGATAGGGCAGAGGGGTTGGAGGAGAATGGAGTGGGCATGGGGTTAAAGAATATATCACAGGAATTTTGGCACATTAATTGAACATAAATTTTCTCTAATTTTTTTCTACATTCAAATAAATTAAGTTCAGATACTACTTTCCATCTTTAAATAAAATATTTTAATTTAAAAAATGAAAACCGTGAAGAGTTTGCTTCTTTAAAAGTAAACTCTAAGTAGAATAAGTGTCAATTGTAAAAATTAATAAACAAAATGTCTCAAGTAAAAATTAAATTTATAGTCGGGTTTGGTGGTACACGTCTGTAATCCCAGCAGCTCAGAAGGCTGAGGCAGGAGGATTGTGGGTTCAAAGCAACTAAGCAACTCAATGCGCTAAGCAACTCAATGAGACCCTGTCTCTAAATAAAATACAAAATAGGGCTGGGGAAGTGTCTCAGTGGTCGAGTGCCTCTGAATTCAATCCCTGGTAGCTGCCCACACTCAAATTTATAATTTTATGTGCCATTGCCTGTATTATTATCCTAATACCTAAAGTGAATACTACATACATAATACACAATTGAAATAGTGTTTGATCTTTAAAAAATGGTTTAGAAAACAAAATGAGCAGTTAGCTCTAATATTCCAGCTGATGAAACAAGTTCTCTGACTCTACATCGGTGGGGATATTATGGGAAAATAATAACTATTTTCAAATTTTTCTTGGTTAGATAATCTTCATATAATCCCATCTTTTTGAGATGTGGGGGAAAGAAGAATTCAGTCTCTTATTAATGTCAAGCTGAAGTGTTGTTTCAAAGAAAGTTTTCCTTTGTCTTCATTATATGCAAGAGAAGATTTTATTTATAATAGAGTTACTTACTTTTATTATTTTAATATTAATTATTCATAGTTCATTTCTAGAAAGTCTTCGAGGAATATTTATACTTGCAATAGAAAATTTTTGCCTTGTTAATTTAAGTTTTTCTTCCTGTGGAAATTTATAGAGGGTGTACCTTTCTTTGATTTGAAATTGTAATACAGAATATAAATTTGGATACATTTATAATATAAATAACTGAAATTTTACATTTAAACTTACTAAAATAGTATAATTATACCAGTAAAGATATGTTGAGTTGGGTGTGGTGATGTACACCTGTAATCTCAGTGACTCAGGAGGCTGAAACAGGAGGATCACAAGTTCAAGGCCAGCAATCTGCAATTTAGCTAGGCCCTAAGTAACTCAATAAGACCCTGTCTTCAAATTTGAAAAATTGCTGAGAATGTAGCCTAGTGGTAAAGCACCTCTGGGTTCAGTCCCCAGTAGACACCTCCCCCGCAACTTCTACCCTCACACCACACACATACCAGGTTGATATTTTGGCACTTAAAAATAGCCCAGTGTGCTCAATGCTGGAATTCTCCAACGGTCTTGTCCTGGGGAGAAGGGAATTGTCTAGCACCAGGAGGAAGAGTGGGTCTCAAAGTGTGAATTTAATAATCCTGATTTGACTGGAAATTGGATATTTATTTTAAGTGTATTTTTTTTTCATTTCAGGAAAATCAAGATTATTCTGTGTGTCTGCATAAAATATCAATAGGATATAAATGATTTTATTATGATTAAAAATGATAATAGTTTTAACACTTTTTTCTTTGTTATTACATAATATTTTCATAAAGTATTGGCATTTTTTAGTGAATGAAAATTAAAAATATGAAATGTAATGTAGTAATAAACATAGTATGTGGAACTCTTCTAGAATTAGTAAATTAAAATCTCAAATTACCTTTCTGAATTTTACAGGTGGCAGTCCCCACATTTCTTCCTATCCTGGTCCCCCAAAGTTTTGTTTTCTTTGCTATTTTGACTCCTGCAATCCTCCAGCTTCCTCCTTTACCTGACTAAGCTCCCATTATTCCTTTGAAAATTGAGCTTAGGGGTGTGAGTTGAATAGAGTAGACCTCTAAGATTTAGGTCTCATTCTACTGCTGCCTGTTTCCTGGGGGTGTGACCTTGGGCATATTAGTCACTTAATTTTTCTGAGCCTTAGTTTCTTTTATCTCTAAAAACGAGGATTTTTCCCTCCTGCCCATTTCAGAGTTATTTGGGGATAAGATAACGTATGCAGTAGTGTTTTAGAAATACCATTACCTCCTTAAGCACATCCACTGGGTAACTTGGGCCTTTTACTCTTTCACCTTTTTCATGCTCACCAAGTTACACGTATTTTGATGATTTAATGCATGCTCAATGTAAAATGTCTAGAAAAACAAAGAAAATAGAAATTCAGATAGCATATCATCCTTTTCTCTTGTTTTTAGCAGAAATTAATTTTGAGACTAAGCTCCCCAAAGTAAAGATACTATCTTACTATTTTTGGATTTTCTGTTCTTAGTGTATAGTAGGCCTCAAATTAATGTTTTTTAAATGAGTGAAAACTTGATGTAATTGTTCTTCTTTTTCTTTCAATTACAATCCCTTCAAACCCCCTCCCATCGCAGTAATTGGGCATCAAGCCCAAGGCCTTGTTCATGATGGCAAGTGCCCTACCACTGTGCTACTCCCCAACCCCTTAATCTTGGATATTCTCTGGCAGAGGCTAGAAAAACAGCTAACGGTTGGATATGGAGCTTTTGGGCAGTATATCTAAGTGGGTTGCCATTTATTTGTTGAGGACAATAAAATTCAAAGATTTTTTTTTCAATGCTTGGAAATTATAAAAACTGTCCTTTTACTCTTTTTATTTATTTTTTTAACAGGATGGCTTAAATTCCTTGGTCCTTGATTTGGATTTTCCTGCTTTGAGGAAAAATAAGAATATAGATAATTTCTTAAATAGATGTAAGTGTTTATTACATATCTGTATTTTTGATGGGATTTGTGTTTGATTAATATTTTAGCCCATAAATTTATTAACTTAGTTAACCCGGGAACTCATTAACTTATTTTTTTTCTTAGTTTACCATTTATTCTATTTAAAAATAAGTACTCTTTGTTTTCAGAGCAAAACTGTAGATCTAAATTGCAATATGTGATAAGTTCAAAATTTTGTGTGTGTTAAGACTCTATTGTAGGACATGTTCCAAGAGAAGTTTTAAGATAAATTTGCAACTCTAAGAAGATTTTGATTTAAATTACACAGAAGGCTTAATAAGCTTTTTGTTTCTATAAATTTGGATATTTTGGTCTAATTAAGGAAAAATAATATAATGACATTTATTATCATATATGTAATAACCCTTGATATTTGCCAATATTGATGTTGTGGTGAAGAAGTAAGTGAACTTGAATTCTTAGAATAAGAAATTCTCAATGATTGATACATACTTGATATCACTATAGTAAACTCTTTAATTTGGAATTGTTAGACACTGGGGTATTTCCCTAATTAAATAATCTGGTCTCTAGTTACTGTTTTTGTAATATGATCACTACATTTTAATGAAATAGGCTATCATAATTCAACAGAAAGATTTGAAAATTAGAAATTAATTTTGGCATTAAAAATATTTATTTAATGAATTGAGATGCATTTAAATATATGGAAAATTCTACAAAGAAATTTTAATAACTGAAAATAAATCATCTTTATAGGTCAAAGTGGTATCTATTGGAATGTTGACAATAAATATTATATTTACATTCAATGAGGAACTAGAATATTCCTATTTTCATCACTAGAGTGTCTAAGATTAGCCTTGCTAAGTAATCATGAGGCAATTTTCTGCCAGGATTTATAATGTGCACCAGGAGTGGTGGGGTTATCACTGTGTCAGCTGAATCAAACTTGCCAATCAACAGAGTTAGAAACAGAATAGCTTTTAACTATTGCTTTTTGGCATTTGATAGTGCTCATATGTATGTTTACAAACCATAGAGAGTTTTGGTTCTTTGATATACAGATGGATAATGTACATCTTAAGTTTTGTTTTTTTTTAAAAACAGAAGTTTGTAAACACCAAACAAGTTTAGCCAAAAACTAAGTCCAGTTTCTTGAAATAAAAATTTGTTTACAAATATGGTGATTATTTTAAAATACTGCTAATGAATATGATGATTGATATTATAAGTATGGTGATTCTTTTTATTGTAGATGAGAAAATTGTGAAAAAAATCAGAGGTCTACAGATGAAAGCAGAAGATTATGATGTTGTAAAAGTTATTGGAAGAGGAGCATTTGGGGAAGTCCAGTTGGTAAGAAAGTATTTGTTTTGTTCTCATTACTTTTTTTGACATATGGGTTTGTGAAACATTATCAGTAGTAGTTGAATAGTTCTAATTTCTATGTCCCAGCATGATGGGAGTAAATTTTATGACTTGGGTCAAGTCACTCTGTATCTCTGAGAACCTCAGTGTTCTCATCTGTAACAGGAGCCAGTTGTTTTATTAATACTGGCTCTCTTCTAGCTCTGAAAAACTGTGATTTGGAATAAAGTCAGCATGGCTTCACATATGAACTGCCTAACAGTTAATATTCCACCAGATCAACTGTGTTTTTATTAAGAATCTTGAAATTAACAACATTTCTGTTTAATGAATTGAGATTTATTTAAATATACAAGAAATCCAACAAAGAAATTTTAATAACTCAAAGTAAATCTAAAATGTATCTTTATAGACCAAAGTGGTACCAACTAAAAGTATTATAAATGTTGAAAATAAATATAGCATTGTGGTATTAAATGAGGAACTATAATAATATTCCTATTTCTATCATGTAATCATCTGAGACTAATTTTTGTCCTTATAGTTAAGTTAGAGTCAAATTCTGTTCCTTGAATGCAAGTGTTTTACTCCTGTTGATGGAACACTGAGAAGAGAATGATTGTAAATCAGCATGGGTTTCTAGAAGAACAGGTTATGATAGACTAACCTTTTTCTTTTTTCCTCTGTTTCATTGCTAGGCTCATTGGACTTATAGTTTAGGGTACTTCCATAAATATGAAGAAGTCTGACCTAACTTGATGGTGTTGCAGAGAAGTGTCAACTGAATGCCTGAGAAGGCAGCATTATAACTCATTTAATAGTTATATTTTTAGGAGGCTGATGAAAGCATGGATGGATGGTACTTTGGATAGAGATTCTTAAGGGGTTTCAGGGTGTTAATGATTTTGGGGGGCTATGATTGCATATTGAATGATTTTACAAAACCGAAGTGCATTGTGAATGATTTTAGATGATGAGCCCAAATCCAGAAGAAATGAAATTTAACCAGAATAAATGTACTTGGATCTGAAGAACATTAGGAATTCATTATTTAACAATATTGAATTAGTTATAGAATAATTTTTCCTGAATATAAGCTATGCAAGAGTCACTAGTGATGAGGTTGCCCCAGATAGTTTTTAAAAAAATTTGGGCTGCTTTAATATAATATCTAAGAGATTTTCTTTGACATGATTATATTATTTCCAGAAAAGTTAATTAATTTTAGCTTCTTTGTTTTTGTTTTTTCTTGCTTACTAAAAACTATTTTTGTGTGTCCAGGAATTAAACCCCAGGGGCACTTAACAACCCTGAGCCACATCTCCAGCCTTTTTTTCTATTTTATTTAGAAACAGGGTCTTGCTGGGTTGCTTAGAGTCTCACTAGGTTGCTGAGGCTGGCTTTGAACTCGAGATCCTCTTGTATCAGCCTCCTGAGCTGCTGGGATTACAGGCATGTGCCACTGCACCTTGCTTTTAAAAACGTTTTAAAGAGAAGTTTTAGGTTCACAACAGTACTGTTTGGGTTTCGTAATTTCCATTTCACATTGTACATTGCTAGTGAATATAACTTATTTTTGAGTGTTGACTTTGTGTTGTTATTTTGCTTAATTTAGTCTAACAGGTCTTTTTGGTGAAATCTTCTAGATTTTTCTATGCATAAGGGCATACAAAGACATTTAGATATTTTCATTCATGTATTTCTTCCTTCCTTCCTTTCTTTTTTTTCTGATTGCTCTGACTATAACTTTGTTGAATAAAAGTGGCTCAAGTAGACTTCTTTGCCTTGTCTCTGGATTTAGAGGAAAAGCTTTAGATTTCATTCATGTGTGTGATGTTTGCTGTTGATATTTCACACATGAAATTTATTATGTTAAGATAGTTTTTTACTATTCTGGTTTGTTGAGTGTTCTTTTTAATAATGAAAGGATGATGAATATTGTTAAATGCTTTTTTATGTTTATTTTTTTAGTTGTAGATGAACATAATACCTTTATTTTATTTATTTATATGTGGTGCTGAGGATTGAACCAGGGTCTCGCATGTGCTAGGCGAGCACTCTATTGCTGAGCCACAACCCCAGCCCCAGTTAAATGCTTTTTCTGCCTCAGGATAATGTGTTTCTTCCCTGTGTTCTATTAATATTGTATGTTAACATCAATTGCTTTTCACTTGTTTATCTATCTTTGCATTCCAGGAATAAATCCCACTTGGGACTGGTATATCTTTTAATATACTACTGAGTTACATTAGCTAATAATCTGTTGAGAGTTTTGGGTCAGTTTCCATAAGGAGTATTGGTTTGGAATTTTCTTTTCATCTAGTGTCTTTATATTTAATATCGGAGTAAGATGAGTTAGAAGATGTTCCTTTTCAGTTTTTTTTTTTTTGGAAAAGTTTGAGAACAGAGAACACTCAGAAATGAAAGTGGAGACATTACTGCTGATTCTAAGAGCAACAAATTGGGTTACCTAAATAAAACAGACAAGTTCCTAGACACACAAAACCCTCCAAGACTAAATCACAAAAGAATAGAAAATTGAGATAGATCTTTATAAATTAGGGGGATTGAGTCAGTAATTTTCCCAACAAAGAAGAGCCCTGGATCTAATGACTTAATTGGAGACTTCTACCAAACTGTCTATCTATTTGTGTCTTTGGATCTAAAGAGAGTCTCTTATAGACAGAATATAGGTAGATCAAACATATGTGTTTATATGGTCAGAGCAGAGATTTCTTGTTTGGAGGACAGGGTTCTTTTTTGCCTACCCTGGCTCCCCTATACTTGGTATAGATTCTTCTGGAAACCTAGCTACCAAGGGGCTGGGGACTACAGATAGGTACCTGCTACTGTGCCGAGAGCTGAAATTTATCCAAACTAATCATCACTTATAGTTCAAGCCTTCCCCTTCATGATACAAGCCAGATTCTTTGTTTTTGTATCAGTAAAGTATTCTTTCTCATCTCAGCTTCTTTCAAGAATATTTATACTTTGCATTTTATAGTTTGAAAATGATTTGCCTAAATATAGTGTTGTTGTTGTTGCTGCTGTTCATGTATCCTGCTTGGATATTTGAGCTTTCTGTATCTGTGATTTTGTGTGCCAATCACAGATAATTACTTTGGAAAATTTCCAGTCATTATTGTTTCAAATATTTCTTCTGTTGTTTTTCCTCTTTATCTTCTTATATTACCATTATGCATATATTATATCTTTTGCAGTTGTCCTATAAATGCCTGTGTTCTGATTTTTTTTTTTTTTTCATTTTTAGTCTTCTCTGTTTCCTTTCAATTTTAGAGGTATATATTGAGGTATCCTAAAACTCAAGCAGTTACTCATCTATATCAAAATCTTCTAATAAACCCATCAAAGGCATTCTTTATTTATTTATTTTTCATACTTAATTTTTTTCCTGTCTTGCATTTTAATTAATTAATTAATTTTAATTAGGTATCTATGATAGCAGAGTGCATCAAAATTGTACACAATTGCAGCACAACTTTTCATTTCTGTGGTTCTACACAATATAGTGTTGCACCATATGAGCAGTCATACATTTACCTAGGGTAATGATGTCCATGTCATTCCACCATCTTTCCTGCCCCCATGCCCCATCAAAGTTCTTCCATTTTTCCCATATCCCCTCGCTCCCCCCCCCCCCCATTATGGATCAGCATCCACTTATCAGAGAGAACATTCGGCCTTTGGTTTTGCGAATTGGCTTACTTCACTTAGCTTGATATTCTCCAGCTCCATCCATTTACCTGAAAATGCCATAATTTTATTCTCTTTTAATGCTGAGTAATATTCCATTGTGTTTATATACCACAGTTTCTTTATCCATTCATCTATTGAAGGGTATCTAGGTTGCTTCCACAGTTTACCTATTGTGAATTGAGCTGCTATAAACATTGGCGTGGCTGCATTACTATAGGATGCTGATTTTAAGTCCTTTGGGTATAGACCAAGGAATGGGATAGCTGGGTCCAATGGTGGTTCAATTCCAAGTTTTTTGAGGAATCTCCATACTGTTTTCCAGATTGGTTGCACCAATTTGCAGTCCCACCAGCAAAGTATGAGTGTGACTTTTCCCTCACATCCTCGCCAACATTTATTGTTTTGTATTCTTGATAACTGCCATTCTGACTGGTGTGAGATGAAATCTTAGAGTGGTTTTGATTTTCATTTCTCTGATTACTACAGATATTGAACATTTTTTCATATATTTATTGATTGAATGTATATCTTCTGAGAAGTCTTTTCAGTTCCTTAGCCCATTTATTGATTGGATTTTTTAAAAAGTGTTCTATGACATGTATGTGGCAAAAATTTCCTCCCAAAATGTGGGCTCTCTCTTCACCTCACTGATTATTGTCTTTTGCTAAGAAGAAGCTTTTTAGTTTCAGTCCATCCCATTTATTAATTCTTGATTTTATTTCTTGTGCTTTAGGAGTCTTGTTAAGGAAGTCAGGGCCTAATCTGACACCATGAAGATTTGGGCCTACTTTTTTCTCTGTTAGGCCCAGGGTCTCTGGTCTAATTTCTAGGTCCTTGATTCACTTTGAGTTGAGTTTTGTACATTGTGAGATACAGGGGTCTATTTTAACTTTGCTGCATATGGATTTCCAGTTCTCCCTGCATCATTTTTTGAAGAGGCTGTCTTTTCTTCGATGTATGTTTTTGGCACCTTTTATTCATGTGGTTTTATCTCTGTGTCTTCTATTCTGTACCATTGGTCTACATGTCTATTTTGGCCTTTATTTATTTAAAAATATTTTTGATCTCTAGGATGTCATTTTAGTTTCTTAGAATTTGTCTCTCTGCTTGCATTAGCCCTCTATTCTTGAATGATGCCTACTTTATCCTTTAGAACCCCTACCATATTAATCAGTTCTTTTAAATTCATATAATAATTCCATCATTTCTGCCATGTCTGGTTCTGATGCTTGCTATCTCTTCAAACTATGTTTTTGCCTTTTGATATGCCT